TATCCAGAGGGGATGGCCACACAACAATCCCTTCTCCATCCTCCTCCTTGAATCTTATGCATATACACACATGTGCCCAGCATGACTATCAAGCCACTGGGTCCAGGAACAGAGCTGCAATTGGCCATGTGGGAGTCCAGCCTCTTAACCACCATGCCACCTGCTGGCCCCCAGCAAATTAAATTTTAATCTCTCTCATTTTCTTGCAAGCTACTTGCCTCTCTGAATCTTGATTTTCCTACTTGTTGAATTGAACTAATACTTTTTCATAGGTTTGTTATTGAATGGGAATAAGAATTAATATAAAGTAATTGGTATACTACATCACCATAATATTAATAAATGTTCAAAAAACAGACATGAATGTCTCATCTTGAAAATGAAATATATATAGTGTATGTGTGTGTGTATATATATATATATGTATGTATATACACACACACACATACACTATATATACATATATATAGTATTGGGTCATCAATGACCAATGACCCAATACATAAAAATGTGAAAATCTGTTCTGTAAACACTCAAAGTTATATAGCTCAAAAAGCAAGGCCATTTCAATATGCAACCTTTACAAGTCCTTTTTGAAAGGCAGCATTAAACTGTCCTCTGAGCAATGCCATAGCCAAAGCCCTACTGCAGCTACAGGTCAATGAAGGGAAAACATCCAACAAGAAAGGAACACAATCTTCTCTCTCAGCCATTACAATGAGTCATAGCTGAAGACCTACGTTTCTTTCTCCAAGGCACTACCCTGAGCCAGGTAACCACCATACCTCTTACTGTCAAAATCATAATTCTGACAGTGAGAAGGGGTTGGGGTGGAGAAAAATAAATGGCTTCTAAGTTTCTTGGTGGTAACAGTGATAAGGGCAATAGGCAACCTGGTGCTCAAGTCCATTTTTCCCTTTTCATATGAGAGTCAATGAGAAAGTGAGGTTCCACGTGAAATATCAAGGGGGGCTGCACACAAACCCTTCCTTGATCAAGACATCAGTATTGACCTCAGTGTCTGTGCTGTCCATGTCTAGAGAAGATAACACAAATCAAAGAAATCTTAGTATCTGCTCTTTTCTAATCATTTTTTAAAAAATTTGCTGTGGGGTATGTGTACTCACTGGGGAGAGAGAGACAGAGAGAAAGTGAGAAAGCATGCCCCAGGAGGAATGACCATGCCACAATCCCTTCTCCATTCTCCTCTTGGGATCTTAGGTAATCATGCACACATGTCCAGTATGTTCTCAAGCTGCCAGGTCCAGGACTTAAACCATGCAGCCAGCCATACAGGATCCAGTCACCTTAACTACCACGGCACTGGCTAGTTCCTCTTTTCCATTTTTTTTTTTTTTTTTTTTTTAGAGAGGTTTTTGCTATAGGGCACATGCACTCGCCAGAGAGGCAGAGAGAGACAGAGAGATAGAAAGCGAGAAATCACCCCCCAGGGTGGATGGTCACACCGCAATCCCTTCTCCTCCATTCTCCTCTCAGGATCTTGGGCACGCACGCACACGCGCCCGGTGTGAGTTTAAGCCACCGGGTCCAGGACTCAAACCGCGGTCAACTACATGGGAGTCCAGCGACCCAGCCATTACACTAACTGCTGGTCTCCCTTTTTCCAATTTTAACAATGGGTTGCAGTATCCTTGATGATATGTTTATGAAAAACAGATACTGTGACTCCATATCCCCCAATAAACATGTCGACTAAAATTACGCTATTATTAACATACATTGTATCTCAGATATAGTATAAAATATTCCAAAAATGTTGCCAAAAATAAAATCATGCAACTGCTATCTCAATTTCTATTAGGTTGCTTTAGAACTTTGGAATCAGAAAATTCTGAGCCCAGAAATTATTTTAGAGATAACCGACTTCAGCTCCTACTGTTATAAAAGGTTGTAAAAGCAAAAGGAAGTTAACTGAGGTGGCCAAGACTATTTGGCAGAACCAGGACTGGAATCTGGCCATGAAGCTCTAATTAAGTATACTTTTCACTACACTGTGGTTTTAAAATTTTTTAGATTGAAAGTCATTAAAGCGATTGAGGTTTTCCCTTCAATAAGTTATTTGACATTGTTAAGAGCCTGTTTTTGAAAGTCTAGAAACTAATTTCATGTGTTAAACATAAAACACTAGATTTTCCCTTTCTAGACCTTTGATTGTATAAAGTTAATCGCCTATCAAGCCAAATATAGTCAACTCAATTATTCACCATACTTACAGAGATGATCTACTTTAAAAATTATTTTCAAATACATTTAAAAATCCTACACTTGATTCTCCCAGCTATCCAACACTTAAAAGGGTATTTTTGTACATCTTTGCCATCAAAAAGGTCCTTAGGAGGGACAAAGCACAGGGTTAGCTGGTGTTCATGTGGGTAAGGCGCTGGATCTCACATGGCCAATTGCGTGGTTCTAGTTCTAGACCTAGCAGTTTGTATGCGGCCAAAATCCCACAAGAAGAAATAGAAGAGGAGGGATTGCAGCATGATCATCCTCCTTGAGGGGGTAATTTCTACTTTCCTCCTCTCTCTGTCTCTCTCTGGCGAACATATACAACTTACAGCAAACTGAAAAAAAAATGTAATTTTAATTTTTAATAATTATTTTAACTTTATTTATTTATTTATTTTTTATTTAATTTGACCAGAGAGGGTCAGAGTGAGAGAGAGGGAGGAAGGGAGGAAAATGAGAAAGCAAGCTACCAGATCCAGGACTTGAACTGTGGTCTGCCATGTGGGAGTCCAGTGCCTTTAACCACCATGCCTCCTGCTGGCTCCAGTACTTGTAATTTTAATCTAAATAATGCAAAATTATCTGGTATATCTACAGAGATACAAAACATATTCAAAACAAAAGACAATGGAATTCATTATGTTACTGATACTCTATATTAGTGCCATTATTAGTAACTAGTGTTTTTGAAAAGTGCCTTAATTACCTTAATTGTGCATTTCATTTCAACCGGTATTTCCAGAGTAAAAACCAACTTTGAAAAAAGCCAGCTGACAGGGTACACAAAACGTGTGATAGGAACAAGAGGTACCTTGAGAGAACAGAGAAAGGTAAACAGGGGTTGACTCTTTAAAGATGAGTAAGTTAGGACAGCTGGAGACTATCATGAGTAACCACAAGGAGACAGGAATGATCTTTGACTCATCCTAGAAAGTTAGGGACATGGTCCTTAAGGCATATGGGTCCCCCACGGCCTACAGTCTGGTTTGAGTCCCCAACTCACAGCTCAAAAAACACGCTGGCCATATGTGCGCCTAAGATCCGAACAGGAGAAGAGATTGCTGCATGGCTATACCCCCGAGGGGTGCTTTCTCACTTTCCCTCACTCTGTCTCTCCAGCAAGCCCTATAGCAAAAATAGGGTAAAACAAGTGAGACCAGATGAGGGAGAATTTGAAGATCAAAAAGAGTAATTGACAAGTGATATTATTTGATATTTATTTCTTTTCTAATTTTAAATTTTCAAGATTTTATGTCAATTTTTAAACCTGTTAACTGGGGAACAATCGTGGAAACATTTGTTCGACATTCCTTGAACTTGCTCAAGTTTCATAAAATAAGAACTCACACTCTCCTTAAATCAGGATGAATTCTGAGGCAACTTCTATGAAAAACAAGATGCAAATATCTGTATACTACAGATTAATTATCTATCTATAATCCAATAATTTAACAGAACACACTAGAGAAGACCGGAAGGATCAAATCATCTAAATAGGTGGCAAAGGAGAATACATTTGATCCAAATCTATTATACCACTAGTAGTCAACTGTTCTTAGCCAATTCCTTAAAGTAACTACCTCATGGGTGATCAAAACATTCTATAGGGAAAGTTCATGAAGCCTTTCAAACAAAATGGACTATCAGAAATACCTGCTTTTAACTCCCCCTTTTACTAGCCAAGACAATAAATATATGGTTTAGTGTTCACATTTGTCAATGTGTTTAATAAACGGCTTAGATGGTTAGCACATGCTTATTCAATTGTGTAAAACGTACATTATTCACTCTAGTTTAGTGGAGGCTGAAAATTTCAGAGGTCTGTCTCTCCAAAATCAGAATAATGCGTGATTCATTCTCATCCTCCAATTATAAAATAATTGCCGTCTATCTAAATCCGTTGCCAACACCAACCACAATAACCACATTTGTTCACTGAGTTACCACTTAGCAGGTGCACCAAGAAAGTACCATCTTTCTCATCCTCTAAAACCGCATCTATTTTGTCACATAAGGGAAACCGATACCACGACTGCCACGAACTTTCTCCTAAGTGTCAGGGCTTGCTAGCTTAACAGAACTGGCAGAAGAGCAGGATCCACCGGCCTAGCTTTGCTTGGCGGCGCGGGGGTGGTGAGCACCGGCCCGAAATTGGTGAGTGTACCCTGCTCACCAGTGGGAACCTCCCTCGCCTGTCGACCTACCAAGACCGGGTGGACCCCGCCCGGGTCCCGGTCCTCCACCTACCCTCGCCTGTTCCCCGCCAGGAGCCCGCCTCCCTCGTCGACCCCTAAGGAAGCTTAGTGCCTTGCGTCGAGCGGAGCGAAAGAGGAGACCCCGCGCCTCAGGCTCGAACTGTGAACCCCTTCCCTACCCAAGCCCGCCCACTGTGCGGCCCCCGCCATCCTCACCTCCCCAGCAAGGCAGAGAGACCTGAGCCTTATCTCAGGACCCGCCCCAGCCTCCCGCCGTGCAGATTCGCACCCACCTGGAGGACACCAGCCTTAGTTCGCGGGGTGTCGGCGCGCGAACCTCTGTCTGCGGAAGGCTCACAGCGCGCAGATCTGTCTCCAGCCCCCGGCCCAAGGCTTAGCTCTGTCCCTCCGCCGACCGCGCGCGCCCGCCTCCTCGCTGCCATGGCGACAGCCCCCGCCCCTCCGGCGGCCGCTGCTTG